CCCTCTGCTATGTACTATGGTTGTACTATAGTAAGAGTACTATAATCCTAAAGCCTTTTTTTTTCCCTCTCCATCTTATTCCTCCATAAGGCATTGGTACCTGTTAAGAGTTTAAGTTGTTCAGATATCTTCACCATTATCATGGATAATTTGTATATACTTCTATTAATAACGTTAGCCCTAAAGCTGTGTTTCTATGTTTAATTTTGGAGGGAATTACCACAACTTTGTAGGCTTTTAAAAAAATCTCAGTTCCATCCAATGTCATTTTACAAAATGAAAGTTTATTTGAAATGGCACAGAAGAGCACTTGGCAAGAAAGGCACAGAGAATTCTTCTCTGTGACGTTTACAACACCTCAGGGTTAAAGCCACAGTGACTCCTTTTAATAGATGATAAGGGCAAAATAAACAATYCTCAAAACAGAAAAAAAATGAAAATGGGAGGGGAGTAAAATAATAATAAAAGACGTTAAAAAAAGAGGTGAGGCACCGCCTCAGCCCTCGGCGCGGGGCACCCCCGCCCCTCCCCGCCGGGGCCCTAACGGTCGCAGCGCGAGCGCGTCCCGCGCGGCCGGCGGGGGCGGGGGGGAGGGAGGGGGAGCTGCTGACGTCACAAGGGCCCCAACGGTCGCGCCGAACAGCCGTTAACGGCCAGCGCGCGGGGTGACGGCGCGCTTCGGGGCGGCCCGTCACCGTGACGCCCGTTTGTTTCAACGCCTCCGAGTTTTTAGCACGCGGGTATATATTCCATTGCAATTAACTTAAAGTTCTCCAGGAAGTTCAGTATCCAAGTTAAGTGCTCGTTAGCAGGATTAAATATTCACAACGGCCGAGGTACGCTGAGCTGGGTAAGGATGTATGCGATTTCCAGAGTAAAACACACGCTGCTTTCAGTTTAAAGCAAAACTCAACCAACTACAAAACGGGCATAAGGACATCAAGCGTACACCGAGATTGCACCTCCGCTATGGGCATGCCAGYATTTTTTCCACGCAGCACACTCCATCTGGGGGCCACAGCGCAGTTTCTGTCACAAAGGTCACTGTTTTTCCACCTCACAGATAAAGGGGAACTACAGCAAGTTTAAGGTTGTACAAGGCTGCCCACTGAAGCAATGCCGAAATGCTCTCCTGTTACTCCACTGCCGAGTCCAGCTGCTGGAAAGTCCTCTCCTCCCCGCTCAGGAGCTGAGGGTCCAGGTGCTGCAGCCATAACCACCTCTGAGGCACCTGCCAGACCACGCTGCTCCTGCCACATCTCACTTACCTCGGCACATCCCTGTCTCCCAAGGGATGAATCCCAAAGACCATGGCCACCTCCCTCAGAAGCCCACTTTGCTCACGCGATGGCTGCTGCTTAATGCAGGTAAAGAAAAACTCAACATACTTGAAGTCCTGCTCCACTTTATTTCACAGATAAAACACCAAAGCACACGAGCACTTACAAAATACCTAGAGAAGGGAAGACTAAGTGTCCGTCCCAGAGCCCTCCCGCCCAGCCCGTAGTGGGTATAACAGGCACGGAGCCAGCACAGCSCCTGCGGGCTGGGCGCCGCCAGGCCCAGCTCGCTGCCGCCATAACGGGCCCCTCCAGGTGACCGCTTCCAGGGAGGGCTCTGCCCGCGCAGCGGGACGGGACAAAGCGGGACGGCAACCCCMCTCTGAGCAAGGCAGCTGCCAGCAGAGAACCGGGCCGCGGCTCCGACAGCCCCGGGGACAGCGAGCGCGAAGCCAACCCGTCCCCTAAGGAAGGGCCCTCGGGAACGCGCTCCAGCACCAATCCACTTCCGCGTTGACGCCTCCCGCGCATGCGCGATCAGCTCCGGGTAGCCCTCTCCCGGTCTTCCCGGGCGGCACCATCGTGCGCGTAACGTGTAGGGGGAGACCAAAGAGAGCGACTGCCTCAGGCTGCTCCCTAGGCTGCGCTCTCCCTAAAACCCCTCTTAAAGAAGTGCTGATCCCTTCTCAAGTCCACTCGTGYCTCCTAAACTCGCTTCTTTCTCAGGCCCCGCCCCCGATCTCTTCCCGCTCTCCCCCGGGGACGCGCTGTGGTGCGCGCCACTCCCAGCTGATCCTGCGGCTCGGCGAGACCATCGCGCTCAGCACAGGGGGAGCCCGGCGCCGAAAGGGGGGCGCATTGTTGAATCGGGGGTCGCGCGGGGCGGGGGCGGGCGCGCGCACAGCCGCGGCCGCAGGCGCGTCACAGGGGACGGCAGGTGGTAGCGGCCGCCGCGGGGGGGGCGCGGACCGCTTCCCCCCGCCGCCGCGCCAGTGGTCGCGCCCGGCTCCAGCTGACCGGCCTGGAATCCCGGCCCGGCGCCCCCCCCTCCCCGCCCCCACGCGCCGCGCCCCCGCCCCGACACCGCTGCCGCTGCCCCGGTCCCGGCCCTGGCCCCGGCCCCACCATGGGAGACGCCGGCAGCGAACGCAGCAAGGCGCCCAGCCTCCCGCCGCGCTGCCCCTGCGGCTTCTGGGGGTAAGCGAGGCCCGCGGGCGGGCGGGGGGCTGGGCGGGAGCCGGCGCGGCCCGCGGGGGAAGGGAGAGGGGGTGCGTGTGGCGGTGCCGGGCCTGGCGGCCGGGGCTACCCGGACTCGGGTCTGTCACGGAGGCCGGGCCGGAGGGGCGGGTGGCCCGGCGTGGCGGGCGGGGAGGGGGGTGCTCCGGCCTTCGTGGGGTCGCCGTGTCCCGGGGGGGCAGGGGTGACTCTTGCTCGGGAGGCACCTGGTAAGCGGGGGGGGCGGCTGCGTTGTCCACAGGTGCCCCGTTCCCTTCGCTTCCCCCAGGCTTGGCCTGGCTGAGGGCGGCGGCCCGCGGCCCCCCTGCTGCGCGGCACCTCCCGCCCCGGCCTGGACACTGATTTCCCGGAGAGGCCCTGGGCCTTGCCCGCGGCTCTGRGAGGGGGAGCGCGGGGCCCGGGCACCGTGCGGCAGCCCGGGSCCTGGCGCGGCCCTGCGCCCAGTGCGGGCACCGGGCACCCCAAGCAGGTACCGCGCAGGCCRGTGTGCGCGTCTGTGCTCCTCACCGGCCCTGTGCACTGGGCTATGCTGGGGGGCCCTGGCAGCCCCGGGCTGGGCTGGTTTCAGGGATAGGCAAGTAGGGCTATTCCTGCTTGCCAAAGGCAAAAGAAAATAAATTAAAAAAAAAAAAAAAAAGCCTGCCCTTGTTAAACTATTTTCATCTCTAGGATCATGTCTTCCGAGTAAGTTTTTTTTAATCAGAGGTATCATGGCAGATGGTGCACTGTGGCAGAGACACGTGTCAGTGCAGCCGCCTTTGCTGCATGTGTCAGGGGCGCCATCCCCAGCCTGGAGCCCTGTGCTGGGTGAGGGCCACCTGAGGTGAAGGCCACCTGAGGCACCCGCCTCCCACGGACCCTTCCCGGGGGTCCTGCTGGGCTGCTCGGGGTTCCCTACAGGGCTGGGTGCTGCGAGGGAGGGGGTGTCAGGAGGTTGAGCAGGCGTGCCGCTGGGCAGTGCTTGGCATTTGCCTCCCGGCTTGGAGTTTGGCAGCGCTTTGAATGAAATTCTGCTGGTGAGCRGTGACAGAAGCCTGAATGGCAACGAATGCCATGGCCCTGTGGGGGGTGATCTTACAAGGCATCCTGCTAAATATACTGTCATGCGCTTGGATTTTTTTATTTATTTTATTTTTGGGCCTGGTATTTTCTGTAATGTGATGCAAAATGAGTTGCTACACTCTCTGATGTAGCATACTGACCCCTGTAATGTGATACTGATGTGAAGGGAGAGTCAGAAAATCTTAGATGAACTTCAGGCTGAACTTTGTAGCTACTTAAATGTGTTATAAGAAGAAGAAAATCTACTGTTTCATATTTGAGGGTATGCTTAATGGTGACAGTAAACTATCAAATAAACCCATTACCTTTAAAGTTGCCTTTAAAAAAAAAAGTTTACCTTTCACGAACAGCTATCAAAATGTAGCTTCCTATTTTTTTTTTCCCGGGGTGTCATCTCTGCAGGATTATTCCTTCTAAGACTGACAGACAACCTTGCAAAAAGGGCTGATTTTCTTCACCCATAAAGTGGATAAGTTAATCTATTTTCTTCTATCTGGTACGAGTCAATACACAATGGCACTATTTTTTTTTTCTCTCCAGTGAAAATAAAGACATAACAGTGGTTTGTTTATATATACATATTTGTTGATCCTGAAGAAAGTGTTTTGTTTATCCTTATTTACTTAGACCATACTAGTTCTTAAAAAGATCCGCCAGTGAAGTTGTAGGTCTGTCCTTCTGGTGAAGCTGCAGTGGCAGGAGTTCTGCCACTCCTGGAGGTGTTACAGCTCTATAGCAGCTTTCTGAAGAGTAGACTGTGCTAGCAAAGAGACTTGCATGCGTTTAGAGCTGGAAATCATCTGCCCTAGGTAATGTCAGGTTCAGGTCAGTGATGTGTCTGTGACTTTTATGTCACTTTCATGTCATTTTTGTGTCTGTCAAGTCACATTCATGGCCATATTTGCCCTTCATGTGCAAGGCATTTAGGGCTGTGAAAAGTCCCAAGACCTGTAGTTTAGCAGACTGATACGTATAAAATTTCTCGTTCAGAGGAACGGTGTTTCTTGGAGTTCAGCTGGTCCTGTCAGTGCAATGACCAGGGACTATGACTCCTTTCAGGGTTGTTCTTGGATCCAAACCATGTAGGTACCAGAACTACTCCATGTGAATGTATCATGGAGTAGGGTCCAAGTACATCTTTGTCTTTTTTTTACCCCTAGATTTATGTAACGTTTAGCAGCATCATTTATAGTAAGATGAATATGTTTTTTGCAGTAATCAACAAGCACAGGAAATATTAAGGAAAATACTGAAAGAAGCATTGAAAATGAAGTGACCTGTGGCTTTCAGGGCTGAAACATGCCTATAGGTGAAGCATGGTAGAAGCAATTCCTGAAGTGCTCCCTGGAAAAGCTGATCTGCAAAGAGATTAGCAGGGAGGACTGTATGTATTGCTGCATTGATGTTTGAAGGATTCTTTTAAACTGCTTGTTTTTATATTGCAAATTCAGAGCCTGAAAGCTGCAAGAATCTCTAGTGACTGGAAAACTACTAAACTCTTGATGTTTCAAGATCTAAGAGACTGGAAAATGAACAACTGAAAGAAGGGGCTTTTTTTAGCAAGACTCTTCAGAACTTCTGAAACATCTGTTTAAGGTCAACAACTAACATTTTCTTACTCTTTGTTGAAGATCACTAAAGCCATTTTGATAACTTCTAAGGCCATCAAGCAAAAGCTTCTATGAGTGTCCAGTGTGTATTTTTTCATCAAATGAAACCTTAGTGGAGCACTAAGATGACTTTTGTCTTTTATTAAATCATTTCACATAGGCAATAATCTAAACTGGGAATCCTCACCTGTGTTCTTATCTTTTTATAAAAAGTCACACTATTTATTGTTTGGAAATATTTTTGCACCACTTTAATGCTATTTTAACATCTTAAACTTCAGTTAGTCGTGAGTATTTCACTTTTTGATTGGAATAGTTTCAGTGCATGAATGTTGAAAAGAGTACAGTACACAAGTAGTGATTTTGGGTTACTTCATTTGGATTGTAGGATGTGCTCGACTTCTCAATGTTGCATTCTGGAATAATTTGTTTACTTTTGCTGATTAGCAGATCCTGTCCTTTTTTTATTTATTTTTTCCCCTCACCTTCAATCTGCAGTTTTCAGAAACTTGTTTCACTTTGTGGCATATATAAAACATTCAGCTCTACAGTAACAAATGCACAAAAATATTAGTATATGTATGTGTTCCAGTTAAGCCATTTTGCTTATTAGAGWTGAGACATAATGCTTTAATGAACCTGATGTTGGCAGTTACCCACCAGCTTTTAAAGGACTTCACAAAGGTTTCATTTGTGTATAGCTCATCAAAGGGCTGGGCCTTTTACTATTAAACAGTTATATGCATAGGGGAGAGTTGCAAGCTGAAATGCCACTTGGCCAGCAGAATCATCCATAGTGGGAAGGGAGAAGTCATAGAGGGCAATACTTGAACAGTTTTGTTTGTGCTCTAGTGAACGCTGCTTGTTTTTCTTGTGATGCAGCCTGGTACGAGGCCATTGCGCTCAGTACCTTAGAACCGGAGCAGAAGGAAATATGTTAATGGACATAAAACAAATGAATTCCATTCTTGAAATGGTGGCAGCCAGCAGGAAGTTGATTGAAAACACAGTGTGATTAGTTTCATCTCATCTTATTTCTGGCAACTGTAAGGTACTGTAGTCAGCCGGAGCTGATGGCAATGCTGTTTGAGAACATGCCAGCAGGGGTTTTGCAGGATGTTGCCATTTATCCTGCCTTTCTTTGACACTGCATGCATCATATACGTGATGAGACATTGTGCCTTGAGCATTCTGTGCTGGCCCAATCCAGGGTTATTTGTGAGTCTGGATTTTCCAGTTACTTATATATCACCAGGTCTCTGCCAATCTGGCTCCTTTTCTCAATTTTGCTTACTAAAAAATAAGCGTTGGATCCACTGGTGAATAATGTAACATAAATGAGGTTAGTTTGTGACTATGTTACCCAAACTTGCCTTTTTGCTTCTACACAAATACTGGCTAATAAATATATATAATTTGTGTATATATGTCGTTAGGAGCCTACTCTGGCTAGTGCTTTACTTTTTTGATGATTGCAGCTGTTCATTCTGTGTGAACTCTGTGACTGTCCTTTTAAAAAATGCTTTCTAATCTAATAGTTTGTGTAGATCATCATTCTTACTGAATGAATAATGCCTTTATAAAACCTAATTTTGCTTTAACCGGTGTTGAAATACCACATTGATGTTCCTAAATGAGACTTGAGTAAACAACAGAAATATGTACCTTTCTCTCTGAGGATTATTTTTCATSGTCTGGTATGATGCAATAACGTTGTGGGGCTTTCACTTACTGCATCTTTGGAGCAGATGCTAGAATAAGCTATGAAAGTGTCATAATAAGAATATAGTAATAAAAAGAGTATACAGAATAGTGATAAACTGTGAGGTTCTAGTGATTACTGTTAGTCATAATGAAGCTAAAAAAATCAACTCAAGCTGATTTTAAGTTTAGTTTTACTTGAAAATTTAAGAAAATTTAAGAAAAAATTAAGTTTTACTTTTCTATACACTTAGCAATTTTAACTACAGTCACAAGATACCATGTTTTGGATCAGAGCTAATATTTGTTTTTGCTGCAAAAATGTACCTTTAGGAATAGGAGTTATTGACACTCAAAGTAAAAACAGATGAACTGGATTTAGTATTTTAACTGTAATAAGCTCTTTTTTAGGAATGTGAAAACACTGCTTTCTGTTGGACTACTTAATAGAATAGACAAAACAAAAAAGGAAATGTTATTTAATAGAGAACAGCTGTCAGACCAAAGGTGCATCCAGCCTTGTCTCTGATTTTGGTGATAAGTGATGCTGAGGGAATATGGATCAGGCCAGGGAAAGCAAGTGGTTATGCTCTGTTAGGAGGAAAGGAGGTATGCGAGATATCTGGCTGTCCTCTGTTTTATACCTTAGCAGCTCTTGATTTATTATTTTCTTTTTCTGTGAAAATCCCTAATGATTATTTAAATTGATGTGTTGTCAAGGCTTTCATGACATCTTGCAGCAAAGTAGTTACATAATTTAACCATTTTGCTCACAAAAAAMCCTTCTTTTTTCCCTCTTCTTACTTTAATGTTGCTTGAATAAATTCAAGCATATGGTGTAAGAGAGTGTTTCCCTTGAGAAAATCCAAACTCAGGACTGGTTGGCTGATGAAAAATATCTGTTTAGTTCTCTAGTAAAGCCAGAATTTGGGAAAACGAACAAGTGCTTAAACTCCAAATTTATTCAGATCTTATATAAAACTGTTGCGGAAAAACATTTACTGATTACAGATGGATGCTGTGCTCATTATAGACAGATATGTCCCATACGTTTTAATCTAGCTGTAACTTCCTCATCAATGAGAATGAAATTCAGCTTTGTAGCTGCTGCTCCTACGAGTGGACCAGCAAGGTGAAGTCAGTAGCCTCTGTGCACTGCTCAGGGAAGCCCGGAGCACTTAAGAGTATGAAAGTCAGGGCCTCTAGGCAGGTCACCTGCCATTTTTCTTCCATCTACATCYTTTTGCCAGCATCTTCTTAGATGTAATTGTGGCTAGTTAAAGGTACTGTRATTTAGTTAGTGCTACAGAATTCAACACTGATTAGTACAAGGTTTGATTACTGCCTGGTAGCATAGTGGTTTTTGTGTGTGTGTTTTGCTTTCTGCTTTATTTTAAGGAGGACCCAAAGCCTCTACAATGAGCTTTAATAGTAAGCCCAACCTGTTAGAGAGTTTTCATACTAGTGTCAGTTTTAACAGAATGTTGCTGCTGTTTTTGTTGCAGAAATTTTATCTGTGCCAAAATCAAACTTGCACAAATATGTTAATGTCATTCCTAGGCTCAGTTGTAATATTAAAGCATTGAAATAATGGAAGCATAGTAATCCAGTACTRCCTTTAAGGAACTGAAATTGCAGGGATACAAAGAAGTAACTTCCAAAAGTGATCCTTGAAGGACAGATTCAGGATAGCTAGATTCAGGAAGGATAGACATGAGTAATGTGCTATGCCATTTTTTAATTGAATTTTAAAATGATTTTAAATTAGAAAGTTGTAGTTATTTAAAAACAAACAAAAAAACATGCCTTCCTAGGGGCAGTAGGCAGAAATGATGGATRTGATACAATTTTCAACAAGCTGAAAAGCTGATTTAAAGTTTAAAATTTCGGTATGTTCTYTTTTATCTCCTCAAATATGCAACCCTGATGGGATGCCTTGGGATCTTCAGTGTGTCAACACAAACATTTTGTGGATTTTTTAGGGCATTATTTAATYTTGACAGTGCTGCTGAAGGAAACCCTTATTGGGATGCCAGAGAAAAAAAGCCTCATATTCAGTGTAGGCAGGTAAATTAAATAGATCTCTTCTCTCCCCTGGATGGACCCCTTCCAACCTCTTTTGCTAAAATGGGAAATTGAAAGGACCCATTTCCTGTCAGTTCAGGGTAGGCTGTGCTCACTAGCAAGGAGTCCCTTCCTTACTTCTGTAGGAAGAAATGGAAAATTGGGCAATAGCTGCAAGGTGACTTGGCTTTGTAAGGCAGGTTAGGTGTGTGCATTTGCTGGTAGGCTCTGAGAAAGCCACCCCTGTGCGAGCACCGAGATGGCCACGGAAGGGAATAGCGGCGGAGACGCTCTGTGCAGCTAATGCAAAAGGAAGTCGCAGTCGGTGACTTCAGATTGCAGAGATGACATGAAACTACATACCCAGCCGTTCTCCTCTAAATCGAGGTCTTGAATAACACCATAATTTTAAATGGTAGGGATGCATTATTTTTGAGTTGTTGGGAATTTTGTATGCTCAAGGAATGCAGCACTTAAACTTAATCCTTTTTAAGCTTTTTTTTTTTTTTTTTTTTTTTTTTGAATTTTGGAGCTCATGAGAAATCATTTACTGCAAATGATTTTTGCCCCATATTCAGGGAAAAAAAAAATATTCCATATGGAGAGACTGAGCATTTCTACAGTGGGAAGCCCAAGACATTTGCAGCTGTGTGTTCAGCTTCTCTATTGACARCATTTGAGTAGTAGCGTTGTGGAAACTTCACTACTTGTGCAGAGAAACAGTTTTTGGGAATTGCAGATTTTTTAAATTTTTCTTTTAGATATAACATGTCCTCTGTGGTCTTCCAGTTACCTGCCCCAGAGATCACTGCCCTGAATTATTTGACCAGGAATCATAGGTATCCTGCTCACTTTCTGCTGTTTAATCTGGCAACCATATGCTCACTCTGAACTGGAACAATGCAGGTCAATATGAGGAAGATAAACTTCAGTCTCCTAAGATTGTAACATTTGCATTATGAGTGTTTCAGAGAAACTTTTGTTTTGTAAATTACTTTTAGCTTTACATCTCTTTATATATTGTGGCTAGTCTTAGGTTTACAGTGATTATTTGGTGCAAATTAAAGAGAGGAAATATAAGTAACAAAACATTTTGAATGGAAATATTAACTTTTTTCTTAAAAAAAAAAATTGCAAGCCATAAGACAAGCTGAGAGAAAAAGAGGTTGTTTGATGACTTCTGACTTCAGTTGCTAACTATTCAGTCTATGTAGTATCTGA